TGTGATATTTAGAATTCAATGAATGACAATGATTTTAAGGAAAATGGACATCGTTTGAAAGCTTACTTTAATAATTTTCCTAGTGAAAATGAATCAGCTGGTTTGAATGATCTTGTAGATAAAGGTTGATTATTTTGTTTTTCTCATATTTTCTTTTTTATGTTTCTTTTTGAGTGATTTTTGCTAGTTTCTCTCACCCCGGTCAAATGGCGGATAACGGTACTCCGTGACTTAAGTCGGTTCTTTCAGTTTCCCACAATTACTGATATCTGTGTATATATGTGTGCAATTCTTTGAAGCTGATATTTGTGTATATATTTGTGCAATTCTTTGAATCTCTCTTCCAATTCTCATTTGAAAATGGACACTAATCTTGAAAAATTGAAAAAGTATTTTCCCGCTCTGCCTCAGAATGCGATTACAAAAATTTACCGTGCTAGATGTGCAAGATTGAGATTGTTAATGAATCATGGAATTCCTGAAGATATTCGCTGGTTGATTGAAGCAAAGGTCCGATTATCATGTGAGTCCTCTAATTTCTTTATTTCACACATGCCTGGAACAGGTAAAAGCACTTTTGCAAAGAAGCGTCGTGCAAAATGACTGGATGTCTGTCATCGATGTGCTAGATGGACTTGTAATACACAATGTCGTTCTTTAGGAATGGTATCTATAAACCGTGGAGATAAAATACAATTCATTAAGGATGGCTTGAGTAAGGAGTCTTTAGATAATCTTCTATTGACTTTTGAGACGCATCCTAGTGGAGATGTGCATCGTGCAATTCATGATTTATGGCCACTATTTCATAAAGAACATGATCGACTTAGTCTTGGGAATCTGACTAAAAAAGACCTTGTTTGCCAGTTTTTAAGAAAACTGGATGGGAAGCCTATCCCCGACCCATAGAGGGCGTTTAAGCCGTTCTTGGACGTAAAACCAAGGGAAGCTGTGAGCCACAATCACAACTACCTGTACATACACATGCTTTTTTTCAAAAGTAAATAAATAAATAAATAAAGAGAGAGAGAGAGTGTGTGAGACTCCAGTTGGCCTACATATAGGTGTTATGATTGCCTTTCTCATTTCTCATCTATAAAACTCTCTCTTCCTTCCTTTCATTTCTACTTAACCCATACATTCAACAAATACAGAAGTGTGTAGAAATGGCAAGTTCCTCAAGTCATCAAATAAGAAATATCTGTGTTTTTGGTGGATCTAGTCCTGGGAAAGAAAAGGAGTTTTTAGAATCAGCAAACCATCTTGGTTAGGTGCTAGCTGAGAGAAAGATTCATTTAGTGTATGGGGGAGGCAGTCTTGGGTTAATGGGAGGTGTGTCAATAGCTGCATTTTTAGGAGGTAGTCAAGTTTTAGGAGTCGTCCCTAAAGCTTTGGGGGTCGTCCCTGAAGCTTTGGCACAAGGGGACATCATTGGAAAAACAATTGGAGAGGAACTTCAGGTCTCCACAATGTCGGCTCGAATGAATGCAATGTTTAACCATGCTGATGCTTTCATTGCTTTACCAGGTGGTCTAGGCACATTGGAAGAGATCTTTCATATTTCCTCTTGGGCTCAATTGCACATTCACCATAAACCCATAGGTTTGTTAAATGTTAATGGTTATTATGATAAGTTGTTGTCTTTTCTTGATCATGCTGTAGAACAGGAATTTCTAACATCTTCTGCACGACAAATCATAATCTCTGCTACTACTGCTGAACAATTGATTGACCAACTACAATCTTTCATTCATGTGATTGATCCTTCTATGAGTCGCATAAATTGGTCATCTACGGAAAGCCGTAAGTAAATTGGTCATCTAAGGAAAGCCGTAAAAAGCTTAGATTGGATTTGAGCCTTCATTTGTGAATTTTTGTGTCTTTTGGTTTTATTATTATGTTTTGTTATTTCTTATTTTGTTTTAGTGTGTTTCAGGTTTTGTCAGTGTTCGTTATTTCAGGTGATATCTTCTATACTCTATCTCTCTACCTTAGAACATTGAGGACAATGTCTCGTTTTGGTTGGGGGGAGAGGGTAGTAGTTGATAAAAAAAAAATTTCATTTCATAAAGCATGTGCATAATTGTTGTTACTAGGATGGTAGAGTAAAGGAGTTCTTTTGTTAAAGTGACTCTTGAGACGCATCTTAGTAACCATTCTTAACAAGGTCTATTATAATACTTCCTGAAATATTCAGGTTTACAAACTCTCGTATTGTTACCACTTAATTCTGCTCACATACTTATTTAACATGTATTCTTAAACCTTAATTTACACACACACACTTTAACATATGATTGTGGGTTGCATATTGGATTATTACATTATTTATGTTCTTTTGTTAAAGGTAACAACTAAGGGAAAGGGATTGTATATAATTAAAAAACAAAAAAATGAAAAAAAAATGAAAAAAAAAGAAAAAAAATGATGATAATAAAAATGTAGATAAGTTTGGTTTTGTAGCCTCCCTAACCTAAGCAATTAAGCCCAAAGGGGTGTTTTAACACCTAATACCCTAAAGTCAACTGACTTGGGAGCTATTGGCCCAACGCTTGTTACATGGGTTGAGGAGAAAAGCTTAAGGGAATCAAACATTGCACTATCTACATATCAATATCTGCGACCCGAGTTACTAAGCTCGTAGGGGTGTCTTAACACCTAATGCCCTAAGACCAACTGGTCTAGGAGTCATTAGCTGAAAGCTCGTTACATGGGTTAAAGATGCATGATGTTTTTAAATTATATGTATATAGAGTTAAAAAAAAAAAGACAAAAAAAAGACAAAAATAATAATCCCAACCCAAGGAAGTTAACCTTAAACATTAGAACAAAAATTTTGTTTTCTTCCAAGAAAAGCCCCATAATTATGTGTTGATACATTGAACACAAAAGAAAGGTTTATTAATACCTTGTTAAGAGGTATTGAGCAGATATATAAATTTAATGAGAGTTTGTTTATCTGGATAGATTAATGGAAGTTAAATGATGAATACCTTGCTTTGTGGAATTTGCAAATTGTTTTTCTATTTTACGCTTTGATTACTAGGGACTAGTAATAAGCTGGTTGGGGGGTGTGATTAGTACTTAAAAGTGCATTTTTATCATGGTTTTATATCATCATTTTGCACTTGAAGTATCAATAACGTCATGGTTTTATATCATCATTTTGCACTTGAAGTATCAATAACTCCTTAACCAAAGCATGTTTTATAATAATATATCTAATAATATAAGATACCTTTAATTTGTGGTAAATGTCTATTTTTAATGCAGCCTATCACATAAATGAAAAGATTGATTGATGACTTGAAGACATAAATGAAAGGATTGATTGATGACTTGAAGAACTTAAATTGCAAGGATAAAGAGATGGCCAAACTTAGAAAAGAGATGTCGGTGCAATCCAAATCGGAACACTGTTCGGTAATTGGGTCATATCTGGAGCTACAGACTCAGATTTAGGTCCAATTTATATGAATGGAAAGGTAAGACATAGGCCTACAACTTTCATATAGAGCCTAAGATCTAAAAAGGCCATTATCAAGTCCAAATTGTAGCAACAACAAAGAAGCCCGAATCTGTCTTCCAGCCCGAGCACTGTTCGGTATTTTGGCCATATCTGGAGTTCTAGAAGTCCAAATGAGCTGAAAGTTTTACACAAGAAAGCTGAGACAATTGCCTACAACTTTCATGTTTACAACTGGCTCCAATTTTGACGTTATCGATGACAGTTTGGGCAGACAAAAGAAGATAAGGATTGTCACCAAGTCAAAAGTTGGCCACCCATTTATCAATTAGTCATCAAATCAATAGTTCCCAATTTTGGCCTATAAAAGGAGGCATTTGCCATGCATTTAGGCATCTTGGTTTCCAGATCAAGATCATGCTCTTCCTTTCTCTCTTTGTATTTTTTGTAATGTTTATGCTTTGCTTTCATTAATATTAAGTTTATGCCTTTCATTTCCTTTCCTTTACTTAGTTAACTTTTATGTTCTTATTTTGTTTATCTATTTTGCTTTCTTTCATTATGTCTAGTTAAGTTAGTTATGTCAAGGTGAAAAGGTTACACTAATGGTGTAAGAATAAGTATAATGTAAACTTAATATGGACTTTAATGTTTGATACTAACATGTTTTATATTTGTTATCTTGTTCACTCTTTAATACTTTGCTTGTTAAATGACTAATCTTGATTTATGTTGTATAACACTTGGTACAACAAATGCTTGGCACTTTCATAGCCCATAATATATGGTATAACCGACACCTGAGCTATGAAAGGAACTTGATTTGTTGTTAACATAAGTTATAATCATGAATGCTTGACGAGATTTACAAGTATTAGCATTAATTGAATAAGATGACTAATGTAATCATGTTAACAATATATAATCTGATTGGAACCTCCTTTGTGTGTGGTTTCCATTTCAATAATAAGAGTTTATACTATACTTGTTTGATATACCATTAGTGGAACCTCTAACCTTGACATTTGTTATTATTATTGTTTAATCCTTACATTAATTTTCCATCTCCAAGTTCTCATCATCTTCTTCTTCTTCTCTTTCTTTATTATTATTATTATTATTATTATTATTACTACTACTACTACTACTACTACTACTACTACTAGTATTATTATTATTATTATTATTATTATTATTATTATTGTTATTGTTGTTGTTGTTGTATTATTGTTATTTATAATTTGTACAAATAACCTCCCTGTGGTTCGACCCCAGTCTTGTCGGGTTATTTATTACTTCGACACTCCTGCACTTGGGAGAAGACATCAATCTTTTAATCATGTCAGCTATCTCTGCCTTAAGCCACCGACACATTGTTTTTACATATCACGCTATGTGAAATTTAATGAACTCTAGTTTCCCTAGAAGTGCATGCAGCAACCTAATACATATGCCTCTCAATTGTTTAACATTAAGGCACTTCCTCGACTACTCAAAACTGTGGCAGAAAAATCAATTGCCACAGCCCCACAAGTCAGTCATCAAGATCCAGCAACAATTGTTCAAAATGCTGAAAATATTCAAGAAGAATCAGCACCTCAACCTGCCACTTCTGTTTCACTATCTTCATCCACTGCAACAGAAATCACAAGAACAGCATCATATGATTACACGAACTCAAACAGGGAAGTTAAAACCCATGGTATTTATTTCTTCATGACAACTCATTCCTGCATGTTTTATTGTTGACCTTGTTGCCCAACCATAAGAGCCATCTCCAATTCAACAAGCTCTCCAACATCTACATTGGCTTCAAGCAATGCAAGCTGAAATGGATGCCCTTCACAGCAACAAAACCTGGACCTTGGTACCTAGACAAGCCAAAATGAATATTATCAACAGCAAATGGATGTTTAAAATCAAAACATGATCTGATGGTTCCATTAAAGATATAAAGCTCGGTTGGTGGCTTGTGGATTTTCACAGCAACCAGGACTTGATTATGATGAAACATTCAGTCCTGTTATAAAACCAAGCACCATTTGGCTTATCCTCACCATTGGCATGTCTCAAGGATGGTCTGTCAAACAACTAAATGTTAGCAATGCCTTCCTTCATGGTGATCTACAGGAGCAAGTGTATATGGCTCAACCTCCAGGTTTTAAAGATTGATCTCATCCAGATTATGTTTGTGATCTTTATAAAGCTCTATACAGATTGACGCAGGCTTGTCTTACATGATACCTCAAATTCAATAACTATATTCAGCAAATGGGATTTACACGATACCCTTATGATCAATCCTTATTTTATCGCACTCAAGGATAAGACATTCTTCTCTTACTTATCTATGTTAATGACATTCTTTTGACAGGCAGCTCATCTTCACAGATTACCAAGCTTATTGCCCATCTCTCTGCTATCTTCCATATTGAAAGATCTTGATGACATTCATTATTTCTTAGGACTTTAAATTGCTCATGATGAGTCCATATTCACAGTCACTCAAACAAGGTATCTAATGTCTCTTCTTCAAAAGTTTGGCCTTGACGGTGCCAAACCAGTAAGCACTCCACTAGCATCAGGTTCTTCCATGTCTATCATTAATGGTGTTCCCTTAGCTGATCCTTCTCGCTATCGTTGTTTGGCTGGTTCTCTACAATACCTCACCCAGACCAAACATTTCGTTTGCTATACATCATGTCTGTAGATTCATGCAAACACCTTATGATACTCATCTTATTACTGTAAAAAGAATTTTTTAGTATCTGAAGAGGACACTTAATGTTGAACTTCACTACATTCGCACTCATGTTCATGAACTTCGTGGTTTTTGTGACACAGATTGGGCTAGCTATAGGGATGAAAGATGTTCCACTACTAGGTTTGCCATTTTTTTAGTCACCAATTTGATATCCTGGGGAGCTAAGAAGTAGGCCACTGTGTCTCGATCGACAACTGAGATAGAGTATCACGCCTTACCTTCCATTGCAGCTGAGCTAATGTGGATCGTTCATTTACTCAAAAATATTAGCCATTGTGTTCCTCCTTCTAAGCTCTACTGTGATAGTATTAGTGCCATCCATATGGCTAAAAATCCAGTATTCCATCATCATACAAAACACATTGAAATAGATGTCTATTTTGTTAGAAAACGAGTTGCAAGTGAAGCTCTTTCTTTGGCTTATATTTCAAGATCCGATCAAATTACAGATATTTTTATCAAATCACTTTGTGCTGCAATGTTTACATTAATCGTGACAAGCTTTGCCTCAGTCCAGCCCTGCCTTGAGCTTTAGAGGGGATGAAGAGATATGAAAATATATGCAGAGATTCCATGTAGGATTCAAGTGCAGAAATCTTGCACGAATCTTCTACATGCTATAATTCTTTGTTTTATTTACTTCATGATTTCCATAATTCCTGCATCAAATCATGTATATATATAACAAGTATCAATGACCTGTAATGTATAAAATACCTATTTAAAGACATGAATAATATACATGAATACAAGTTCAGCTTTCCTACAGAAACGGGTAGAAATTAATGAAGAGAAACTTGAGCTTATCAAGAGACGAAATGCAAGTCAACAAAAAAATGCACCAGGTTCTGGATTGATTAATCCAAAAGCTTTACATGAAAAAAACAAAAAAAAAAAAATTTAAAAAAAAAAAAAAAAAAAAAAAAAAAAAAAAAAAGGGGGACTAGCATGTTATACCTTCATGAGGAATGATTTGAACTTGATGAAAATTAATGGATCCATGAGTTCCCGCAGCACCATTTTTTCCATCATAAATCCTACACATCTTTTCAACATGGATGAAACAGAATTCAGTACATCAGGAGCTCTGTTATCTATGCATACGAGTCAGCAGCATTCCCTAGTATCCCCCCCTATAAAGTTGGAAGTTCAGAAGTTTCACAAAGTAAGACATCAATGCAAGAAAGACTTCACATGTTATGGAGCAGAAAGTTATGGAGCAGAAAACAGTGGATAGCGCATGTGGGAGGTGCAGTCATTCAATGGTGCTGATTTATTCATTTGTTGTTTCGTTCCTCAATATTTGTGCTACCTTTCCTCAACCGTAAGTCTAGAACCACCAAAATTTCCCATTATTCGATGCTGTTGAAGAGGTCCAATACCAGAAATAAAATTTGACTTCAATAGATAAACCGAGATTGTTGTCAAGTGTTGTCATATCAGAAAGCACAAATCAACAAGAGTTTCCTCAAACGCCCTTCTCCTTAAAGAATCTCTTTCCTTTTTCTATATATATCAAATTTAATTCTAAATTCAGAGAATCTAAAATAAAATTAAAAAAAAAAAACAGCATAAGAGGGGGGAAAGCTTGCATTTACTTTAATATGCCTATCCACTGGGCTTATATGCACATTCTCCAGCCTCAACGCTGTATCCGAAAGTCCATGGCTGTGCAAGTAGTTCACCTTAAGTAAGCGAAACAAACACCTTACACTGTAGTTGTGCACAGCAAATGGCAACTATTTGAGCACAGATAATACAATTAAGATATACATGCTCCAATCAAGAGATCCCTCATCAATTTGTGTGTTATTTGCAACTGCCGAGAGACAGCAGGTCCTCCGACCGTGTCATCTCCCACCCTCCTGACAGATTCCTCATCCAATGCCAGAGTGGTTTCCAATGTAGGTAGCAATCTAAAAAATAATAATTTCACGTGAATCGAAAAATAAAATATTTTATTTTTTATTTATTTATTTATTTATTTTTATATTAAATTAGTATTTTATAAGTTAAACTTTGTAAATTTATAAAATTATTTTTTTATTTTTTTAGTTTTTCTTTAAAAAATTTTTATATTTTTCCTTTATTTTTCTTTCTTGTCTTTTTTTTTTCATTTTGTTTCTGCCTAGTTGGTAACGTATAAAAGAAAAAAAAATTTATTTATTTTATTTTTTTAATAGCAAATAACTATTTTATCTTTAATGAATTTTTTTGTTTTTATTTGACTTTTTTTGTTAGAACTACTAACTTTATTTATTTTAAAAATTTTAACAAGATTTTATTCTATATATTTTAAAATTTCTCGTAAAATTTCAGTTCAATCTGATGGTCGGATTGAAAATTACACTCAATAATATAAAACTAATCAAATTATAATTTTTTATCAAATTTTTGAATTTTTTTAAAAATTATAAAATTTTAATTTAAGTTAAAATATCATATTAAAAAGTTTTACACAAATTTTTAGAATTTTTTACTATATCAGATAAAAATTAAAAATTTTCTTTACATAAAAAGATTGATCTGGGTAGAGTCCACTCCAGTCCATGCATGCCTACGCTCTTGGCCAGGCCTTTCATTCTTTTGTCCTATCCATCTACCGCGCCAGGGATCGCACGATTTACTTGCACCATCGCGCGATGGAAAAATCAAGCTTGTTTTTTACGTAGCAGGTCCTGGTATAAATAGAAGCATATGGAAAGCTCCCACGAGCAAGAAGAAACCCATTTCAGTTGCTCTGCTTTTGCTTGTCCTAGAAAATGGCACAGGTCTCCAAGATCCTCAAAAAGACTGATACTAAGAAGAGGCTGTCAGTTCCTACCAGGTTTCTCAGGTCCCTTCCACCTTTCAAACTAGGCAGCCATGCCGTCAAGTTTGAAGCTACAGACGAGAAAGGCGAAGCTTGGCCCTTTCAATGCTCCATCCGCAAGAGAGGACAGTACCCGAAGCCAGTCCTCACAAGAGGTTGGGTTGCATTCGTTAAGAGCAAGAAGCTGCGAGTTGGTGACAAGGTCAGGTTTATCAAACGTGAGAACCGAGCTACTGCAACAATCTCTTACAAAGTTCGTGCTGAAAAGGCAATCAAGATCTTTGGTGCTACATTTGGCTACGCACGGATCTAGTCCATTTCCCTAATTAATAGTTCTGCAAGTCAAGCTAGCAAATAATAGTGTCGGTTTCATGCACTGGCTTGCATCGAGTCCCTTTCTGTACTTATGCATTTTACTTCTCCTCAGTCGTAACTCTACGCTGCAAAGTTTCCCCAGTCGTAATTCTACACTGCTAAGTTTCCTCAGTCGTAACTCTACGCTGCAAAGTTTCCCCAGTCGTAATTCTACACTGCTAAGTTTCCTCAGTCGTAATTCTACTCCACTAAACTACACGTTGGTTGTTATTAATGGTTGGCTTGTTCTTTATCCAGTAGTGAATGAAATGGAGCCATGTTTCCCGCTTAGGATGACATGTTAGATTTCTAAGTTGGGTGACTTTCAAGTTTCTTGAATTCTCATATATTTGTGCTGCTTCTGCAATTAGTATGTTTAACTTTCAAAAGCCATCCCATCTGCTAAGGTCTCTCAAGATGTTCCTTTTGCACCTTTCTTTCAAGAATATGGAATTACTGATCCCTGAATAACGCAATATATAGGGAGCTCGCGAGGCCACTTCTCATGCAAGGGTACGTAGTAGTAGTTATGTGGTATATGTGATTGCGCTCTTGCATATGAAATGAGAATTATTTTGCATATTTGGCATCTTGACGAAAGAAAGTAACGATGTTGGCTTAAATCCGTTGCGTGATTGCCTCTTTAAGAGGTATTATTTCATGTTTAAAATTATGATATCAAAGTGGGTTTGATCTTGAAATTACACCTCTTGAAATAGAGAGATAATATATAGCTAGGGTTTATAAATTACCTGAATCCTCCTCGACTTCCTATTGACGTAGAATATTGATATAATCATAGAGCATTAATGTTGGTTCGATCAGGGAATCCTCTTCACAAAACCATAAAAAACGGCGCTCGTGCGGTTCATTTCTTTTAGTGGCTTCCAATGACGCTACAGTCAAGGTGATGGTGAGAATGGTGTGCGCCTGCAAAACAAATCCACCCTCGGGCCCCACCACATGCATAATTACATCTCGGCCCTAGACTCTTAAAAGATATATTTCCATCAGATGTAATGACATCAATGTTTTTACACAAATAGTCTTATGATTCTCGTTGCGATGAATTGAATCATTTGATACTTCACATCTGGGTGTTGAGATGCTGTTGGTTTTTCATCCAAAATTGGGTCTTCATAAAATCTCGGAGGGATGGCATTTTTTTGGAGGCGAATCTCGACAATTATGATGATCTTAATTGTTAAACAAAATCCGGAGGCTTTCCAATATATGGGTCAGCGGGTCACCCTCGAGTCACATTTTTTATCCGATTAGTTCCAAACGGATCACTAAAATTCCGACCATATTGAAATGATTTGTCCGTAACAATATGTTATCAAATTCAATTAAAAAAAAACCCAGCCCTAATCTGTCTTGAATTTTCCGAATCAATCAACAAAGCAAGGTACGTAGAGTTTGACAGCTATAATCATAACTAAGAAAGCCATCATCACAAGTGAAATAAAGACTACATGACATTTAGGTTATAATTGGATTGACATGAGCAATAAATCTTCGAGGTGTGTGCTCGACTGGTAATAGCCATAGCATCATTTTAGGTCGGTCAGAATCTAGAGAATGGTTCGTGGCAGCAAAAACGATGGAGCATGAACGTACCAGACAGAAGCTGATGGTTTTATAGTCTGTTTGGTATCATCTTGAGTACCGCTGGCTGTCTTCTTATTAAGGTTTAGAATCATTTTTCAAATAAAGCTTTATAAAAATGCAACATTTGACAAGCCACTCGGATATCAGGCCGCACTGCATTTGGAAAAGGTTGATCTTCTTCGATTAATCGATTGTACAAATTACACGAGCAAGAACACAACTGCTACTTACATTCCCAACAGCAATTTCTATCTACATTACTTGCACGGAATGGCCATCTACTGGTTTCATCAACACATAGATCTTGTAAATAAGAGAGCTGATCCATTGACCCCGCGCAGGACTAGCAGTCTGGAGTCCACGTATGTTCCACAGACGAGCTTAGACAAATCAAACATCTCAGGCGGAACTTGCACGCGAAGTTGTTGAACTATACTGCTTGGTGGAACATCATTTTGATTAAGGTTGTCCCCGAGACTCATTGTCACCTCAATGTCAGCTGAAACAAGTTTGGCCACAGGAAGGCTCGATGGAAACTCCTTATACGGGACAAGTTTCCTCCATTTTTTAGCTGACAATTTCTGGGCTAAAGAATCTTGATTGTTTGGTTGCCCAAAGGATAACTTCTCTGATGTCTTTTCCTCCTTAAGATACAACCGTCTCCCGGATGTCAACCGGAATACAGAGTTTACTTCCAATTTCCCAGTTATACCACTTTTGTCATGAGGCCAGTCTCGACCATTCATCACCGTGAAGCCAATGTCCGATGTGAAGGAAATACTAGTATTTAATTTTGATGCTCTATTTATAGTTAGATAAACATCACCAATCAGGACACGAGCAGAAGGCTGACGAAGGGTCAATCCTATTTGTCTCCCAGTACAGTATAATAGATGACATTTTCCTGGAAGCAACTCCAACCAGTTCTGCACATTGAAATAGAGCAGAAATTTCAATATTAAGTAACCTTTGAGAATAACAAGGCCTCGATCCCGAGCTCATTGGAGATAGATGGTAAAAGCATAATCAATCAATAAAATGTTTCATGTTCTACCAGAAGGAAGAATCCAAAGAATATTGGCTGCTGAAGAAGTACAACAGCTACAGAATCAAATAAGTTTCTAGCTTCTTTTTCTTTCTATTGTATCAATGCATTTAGCAGTTAGACCATTTCACATAAAGTGTTCACTTAACAAAACGAGTGACCATAAATTAGAAGAAGAATTTTGAAAGAAAAGGGGATGGATGATACAAGTTATAATATCTTTAAGGCAACTAGACATAGACCCATACGACTCTTTGGAGAGAGCAAGAGAATTAGTGAATCTACAAAAGCTACGAACAAAGCAGATAATTGCTAACCGTTGGCCTTGAATGAGCATTCAGCATCTCCATAAATTCGATAAAATAGGAAAGCCTATTACGCTATCACATCAAAATTCACCAGTCAGTTTACATTGTCAATGTAATGGCATTGCGAGCTGTAAACCAACACCAGATATATATTGAGTTTACATGCAAACATTTAGTAGTTCAAATAGAAATAGAAGCACGCTAAGATATCTTTCAAGTAACAGGAAATTAATTAGTAACGCTAGTTGTTCCATCTCATTCTTGTGCTTCCCTAGAAAAACAGGGTACTTTATAGGTTCACAAAGCCTCTGATAAATGATCAAGATGCATGGTTGCGCTTCTCTATGCTCAGAATATGAAACTTTCAAAAATTCCAGCTAATAACTCAAGGCACTGGCTTCAAAGAGTCATAACCGATGAATCCATCTGAATGACAGTAGAGAACTTAGAAATGCTAATTGTAGACACACCTGGGGCTGCTTATAAATGTATTCCTTCTGTAATTCGAAGACATTTCAAGATGATCAAGATGCATGGTTGCGCTTCTCGTTGTCAGTTTGTCGTGAGCACCACTCTATCACCAAGACATTTCAAACAAGAAACTTGAATTTAACAAACTAGAGCTAGGTATATAACTAGAGTTGAACTTTTAATCATTCTTTTAAGCTTTATTTTTGTCTCTT